GGGCCCCTCATCTCAAAGTCTGCTTTTGTGTTTTGAAGTGTGATTATTCAGTGTGCTATTTTCCAAGATTGAGCTGATTGCCATGTTTAGCTCATGGTCAACAGCCAATTATTCCGAGAGCCAACTAGTTTGGCCAAAACAATTGATGCATAATTGGCTGTTCCTTCTCATTCATGTACTTGGTCTGCTGTGATCTCCTGATGAGGGAGGGGTCTCCTAGTAAACATCCACTACCGTTCATCATTGTGAGATTTTAAAATGCTCATTTCATTGTCATATATTTTTCTGTTTCAGTGTGCACTTGCATTGAATCCATAGCCAAGGCCATTAATGAACCAAAAGAGCACAAAAACGCACACGTTCTCCCAGATATAACTTTAAAATAGTCATTCCCATGTGACTTGGGCTTATTGCTTTGTTACGTCATTGTAAAGACAGTAAGCAGTGAGTGTCTTCGTGTTGTGATGCAGCACCAAAGCTCTGCTTTAAGTCTTACCGCCAGGGAAGGACCGCTATTGTCTCGGGATATGTGAGAGCGCTGGCTCCGCTTCTCACCATCTGCCTTCACTGGCACGAGGGCGAAGTGTGTGTGTGTGTCATTGTGTGAGTGTGCAACAATCACAACGCACTGTAGACACTCACGTATGCGCACATACATGCTTCCTCGCACATATGTGTGGAGTATGTGTGGTCAACACATGTCTGGTGTCTGTGTTTATGGTGTTTGTCAGATGTGTTGTAGAGAAGTGTGATTCTACCCACACACACACACACACACACACACACACACGCGCGCGCTTTAAGTAGAGCATGTTTCTGTGTTTTATGGCTAATGTTACTCTTCCCATCATCTGAAGGCTTAGTGAACATATGATTGAGTAGCATGCTTGACCCACGGATTTCCATAGCAGCTACATAAAGCATGGCTTTTCCAGTTCGGGATACACAGGCGCCTTGGCCCAATGTGGGAACGTGCTCAGTGCAGGACCAAAAAGGCCAAGGTCTCTTCAGCATGACCACAGCGGCACCCTGCCTCCTCCTGTCTCCTCCAACAGCCCTACACACACACACACACAAAAAAACTCACACACACACACACAGTGGTCCCCTGATATCCATGACAATACTGTGTTGCCGTGGTGTCTCCATGGTGAGGCTGGGAATGTAGAGGGGGCCCCCTGTGTTTGTGTGTATGAGTGTTGTGTGCGCCGTAGCAAGGGCGCTCCCTCTGTCATACACCCGTGTATTTGTGTGTGAGTGTGAGACGGAGGAGCAGGGCAGCTGGGGTCTTTGTTAATGGTGGAGGAGGGCTGGTCCCTGGGGACCCAGAGGTTAAGGCACTGGGCCCCTCTCAGGCAGGAGTCACAGCTAGCCTCCCATCTAGCACCCAGTCTAGGACCCCCTCTGTATTAGACCTCCTTACTGGCTCAGACTTGTTTTTTCAGACATGATGCTAGTGTGGTCACCGATGGTCCGTAATCGGTGAGATTTGAGTCGTATTCTGTGGGCTACTGACTTACTGTGTGTTTGTGTTAGACGA